TTGAGTTTCAACATCTTGTGGTGAAATTGCTGTAGGCTCGAGAAGACTGCTCGTAAGGAGAGATAGAAGAGGTCAATCAACGTCTAAGGGATCATTGACCACTCACCTTGCCGCCATCAATGGTGGAAGCAAAGAAATTCCAGTGATGAGGCTAAGGCTACTAAAGCCAAAGCATAGTCTAGGTTAGAGGCAACCCAAAAGTAGAAGTAGGAGCTTGAGACCACCAGCTACGGAGTTAGTGAGTGAGCGAGCTCAGAGGAGGGAGCACTTGAGGATGGGATGAGCCCTGATTGGAGGTAGTCGAGGTTCAAGTGGCCCCAATTGACCTGGGGGCTCTGCGGAACAAGCTATAAAGGGGGCCATTGACGTGCATGAGGCTAGAGTTGCCGAGCATATTGAGATATCAAGTCCTTGGTTCGATGATAATTTGGCCTGCGTTCGTGTGGCGTCCTTTAGATTTTGATCCAAACTATTTGTATCGTTTAGCACTTAAAATATTTTATACTTAATATTTTACCATATTTACATTTAAATATTTTACTTTGTAATTAAAAAGTAGTACTTTGATTCACTAAATTGTATTGGCACTTTAATATCCTATGTTGTAAAAAAACTTATGCTTAAATACCCTATTGTTTAATCAGCTTTACATTTAAATATTGTAAATTGTAAAAAGTAGCACGTAAAAGCCTTAAGTTATAAGAAAATGGCACTTTAATACCCTAAAATATAAAAAAGTAGCATTTTACTGTCTTCTAGTAGTTGTGAGGACACATTCTTAGAAATATTTCTATGGATAACTACCAAAATGTACTAATGTGCTAAGTTTTTGCAACTTAGGATATGAAATGTTATTTTTTATTATTTAAAATATTTAAGTGTAAAAGTGAAGAAACAATAGAGTATTTTAGTGCCCTTTAGCCCAAATAGAGAATACAGAGGAGTGAGAAATCATAGAAACTGAACACTATGAAAAATAATCAATAGTTATTGAGGAGTAAATGGATAGTGGAGACTTGAATACATAATGAATATTAATGGGTAGTAGTTTAATGAGTAATTCAATATCTTTCAAAAATTAACATTATGGAAGGTGAAGGTCATTGGGAGGATACATCAAATCAAATGTGCATACTCAAATCAAATAATGTGCGTACACTGTATACTATCTCATAAATGAACATGTTGAGTTTTAACATTCCCTCAAAGGTATAATTAGTTTGTCCAATTAACCTCTTAAAATTACAATTATGTCCTTGAATAGCTTATTAAGTACTAATTGAATGAGAATGTGAAGGAGACATGATTGTGATTACACATATAATTTGGAGGGCTTTATAGGGGAAAAAAGCTTTAACACCCTTCACTCTTTGAGAGTAGTACTAGTATACTGCGCGTGTGTTGTACGTAAACATTTTTTTGTATTCTAAATTTATTTCAGAACAGGAAAATAAGTAAATGATTGGAAGAGGGAAAATTTTAAGGAAAAATTGCTTCAAGGCCCTAAAAATGAAAATACAATGTGGCCCAGCCTTCTGTATTATTTTTCATGTGTATTAGCCCCAAAAATGAGAACTCTGTGTGATTCAGCCCCAATTACAATTCCCAAGGGAATATATCCCCAAATTACCCCTCTCCTTCTCCAGATCTCTTCTTCTCTTCCAACAAACCCATCTCCTCTTCCACCCTCTCTCTCCAACCTCGCTGGGAACCTCCAACACCGCCGCCACCTCCTCCACCTTCGCCTCCCCTCGACCTCTACGACTTCATTCTCAGTCGTAGACCCCGCCGCCACCATCGCGCCGCCTCTTCTTCTTCCGCTGGAATCGCTAGATCTGGAGGAATCTAGGGATAGGGTGGGGTCGCTGTGTCACGCCCCGCTTCCCAAAATACCCGGGAATTGGAACGTGAACAAGCCCGCGACGTATTTGATTGAAAAGAATATACACTATCTTTTTTTTCTCTTTTCTTTTCTTCTCAATCCAATACGCTAAGCGTCTAGAAATGAATACAACGTGAAGTCACAGGTCCCCGATCACACATAGCAAGAATATAAAGACAACCCAGAATAAAAATAGACATATCATCAATGGTAAATCATCCCAGACATAAAAATATGGGTCAAACACGCCCTTATTACAAAAACGGTTCAACTAGGAATAAAATACATAGTCCATAAAGAAAGTACTGTTAAAATACTAAATCCATCATCAACTAGAGAAAAGTACGGTAAAAAGGTTTTAATGTTCATCTGCTACTACAGAGAAAACTATTGCGCTTCAGATTGTTCTTCTACTCCACCTGCGAGGCACTCCTACTGAGAATCTTCTGGCCCTTGCACGATTCCGAACTGAGGTTGTATGTCTCCTAAATTTGACGTACACCCAGAAAATAGGAGTACGTCAGCGTGTGAAACACACGGCAAGATCCCCTAAGACAGGAACAAATACAATAACGGTAATGATAATATATGCATGGTCAATGCTATAACAGAAATAGAAATAGGACATGTGATGATAGTAATAACGATAGAGGCATGCAACTGGAATACAATTAATCAGATGAGACCAAAAATCAACCAAGTAACAAGATCATGCAGCAAGTCATCATATAATCATCCACATAACAAGGTCATACAACTAGATGGAATTAATGCCTAAAAATCTACAACTCGAGACGTAGTACATCGAGCGAAATAATCCAAACAAGGAAACCCTCATGTATATACCATATGTCTCAAATTGTAGATAATTAAATATTAACCCCAATCTATGTATGAAAAGAACACAACTAGCCATCCTATCACAGCTCACTGGTTCACATCTCACTAGAGTCAAGGTTCATATTCTCGGATAATCGATTGTTCACCAAATCATTCACGTACAACTTTTCACTACCCCCCTCAGACCCACGCCAGCGCTACACAAGAATATCGCTGGTGCGAGCCTGGAAATAATCAATAATCATAATATCACACCACCTCAGACCCACCCCAACGCTACACAGGAATATCGTTGGTGCGAGCCTGGAAATAATCAACAATACCACATATCAAAACTCCTCAGACCCACCCCAATGCTACACAGGAATTTCGTTGGTGCGAGCCTGGAATAATCAACAATCAATATCACTGCACCTCAGACCCACCCCAACGCTACACAGGAATATTGTTGGTGCGAGCCTGGAATAATCAACAAGCATAATATCACATCCGATCACTTAAACTAGGAATTCCCCATCTCAATTCTTCTCGCTTTTCTAAGTCAACAAACACAGATATCTAGGTCCTATACACGACACGCTAGGCCACTAAGGACATGAACTACTAACGGTTATCAACAAAATAAGAAATAATAAATAAATATAACTATTTTATGCAAATCATATTATGAACATGACTATATAGACTAGCGATGAATCAGGTATGCATATATGACAATGAATGAGTATAAATAAGAGTGTCAACATGTCGGTGTCAATGTACATGAAATGTCGTGTTCTACAACTATCAATCACACGGTCATAACACAAAAATAAACTTTTACCAAAATAACTTCTTTGAAAACATTCATCATTCTAAAATAAATTCCTTCCACAACATAAATTCTAAAAATACTATAATGATTTTGTTATTCAAAATAAATTCTTTAATTTATTATATTTGTCCTGAAAATACTAATTATCCCATAATTACTATCCATTCAAAATTATTCATCAAATCCACGCAGATAAATATTAACAGATCTAAAATTGCAGATAATTCATAATGAATAGAAAAATTAGTTCTGAGCAAGCGGAATCTTGCCTCGGGTACGTTGAACGAATCGACACTGTCGTGCAAGATCAGATCCAACGTGAGAGCGAGGTTCGGCGGATCGGGCTGACAGCGACGGCTCGGCGCGATAGAGGAGGCCGGGGGCGGTTCGAGCTCGGGTGCGGGGCGTCGGAGAAGGTCGCGTTCGGTGATGGAGGCGGCCAGAGGCGGAGGGGGCGCTCGGGTGGGTGACCGCGGGGCTGCTGAGGCGGCGAACGGCGGTTGGAGGCGGAGGTCGGGTGGCGAAGGAGGATGGGTTCGGTGCTTGAGGAAGAAGAAGAAGAGAGAGGGGGCACGTGAGAGAGAGAGAAAATATTTGATTAGTTGGTTTTGAAATTTGAAAATGAGAGAAAATGGAAGGAGAGATAAATGCACGTGATTAAGAAGAGAAATGGTATAAAATAAACATGATTAAGGGGGTGATTGGAAAGTGATTAAGGCTGATTGGGAAAAGAATTTGGAAGGAATTCAGATGGGAGGAAATTAAGGGAGAGAATATTATGGGAATATTTTGCATGATTTTTCAAAATAAACATTATATTAATAATTAGACATATAATAATATTAATAAATAATTAACAGTTAAATATTTATATTTTTACATATGTACTAATATACTAAGCTCAGGTTTACATTAATAATAACAAGGTCACTAATAATATTAGCTACCAAAAGATTATATATAAAATCATTAAACCATAAATTAATATTTAGCAGAATTAATAAATATAAGACTATATATTTTATTATTTATTTATTTTGAAAACTCAAAAAATTTCTAGAAATTAGGAAAAATATTAATAAAATATAATATAACATTTTAAATACTAGAAAATTTTATTTAAATATGTATCAAAATTTACGGTTGTTACATGTAGAAAACAGAGATTGGAGCTGGTTTGCTCTCTTTGGTGATGTTTTTTTCGGTGGGTTATAACAATTTGTGAGCTTATAGTGTACAAATAAAAGAAGAGCAGAGATTGGGTCTGATCCCCCCCTGGTGATTTATTTTTGGTGGGTTTTAGCAATTTGTGAGCTTTAGTGGGTAAACAAAGAAAATAGAGATTTTGGTTTCTTTCTTTGAGAGTTATGAGGAGATTGTACGTGATACTGGGTTTAGCTATTTCATGGATTTGATGGTGAGCTCAGTTATGAGGAGTTATGAGGAGTTTGTGTTGCTTGCGAGATGACGAGGTCTCAGAAGGTGGAGGAGAAGAAGGCTAGGGTGGAGGAGAGCTTGATTGTGGAGAATGTAGGTTTGGTTTTATGCCATTGCTTTATGATTTGAACGGAAGTATTTAAGAATAAAGTGAATTTATGTTAGTTCAATTTTTATAGTGGTGTATCATGTTAGTTCAATTTTTACAGTGTTAGTAATGTAAACTATAAAAAAATTAACTGTTAACGTTTATTTGTTCCATGTTAAGTATAGTGGAGTAAATGTTAATTTTTTTCTTTTAAATGTTAAGTTTTGTTAATTAGCTGTTAAGTTTTACCTATTACATGTGAACTATAGCCGATTAACTGTTAATGTTTAGTTGTTCTATATAAGTATAATTGAGTAATTGTTATCTTTATTCTTTTAAGTATTAAGTTTTGTAGATTAACTGTTATGTTTTACCTAATATATGTAAACTATAGTTGACTGACTGTTAACATTTACCTAATCCCTAAATATAATTGAGAATCATAGTGTACCAAAAGATGAGATTGGGATATTACCACCAAATCTGTTGATTGTTTCACAAACGATTTTGTTGCTTCTTTACAGTAAAGTGGCCAACTACATCATGGCGAACAATTGGGAATAGAGTGAATGTTGTTATACAAAATTAAGACATTAAGGAAGAACGGTCTTTAACATGTGAACATGGTTCAAATTCATATAGTTAATATTTTAACCATAATATTTATCATGTTAACTGCTGTAGTTAGCATGTTAACTCTTGTGTTTAACATGTTAACTCTTATGGATAACATGTTAACTCTTGTGGATAACATGTTAACTCTTGTGGCTATATGTTAACTCTTGTGGATAACATGTTGACTTTTGTGGATAACATGTCAACTCTTGTGGATAATATGTTAACTCTTGTGGCTATATGTTAACTCTTGTGGATAACATGTTAATTCTTATGGATAACATGTTAACTCTTGTGGCTAACATGTTCATTGTTGTGACTAACAGTTATTTTAACATGTTAACTATTATGGTTAACATGTTAACTATAAGAGCTTAGATGTTAACTAATTATATGAGGATTGATCTTACGCAGAAATATATAGATACAATCTCATACTGCTTGTTTAAGGCAACGTTCTCCTGCAACTGCAACCATTGCCGTAATCTATCTAAGATGACCTCTATTACTTTGTCATCGAGTCTTCCCCCACGGAGCAAATACAATAGTTTCGGGTATGTAATTGTGCTGTTATCACTAACGATGACATAGCAAGCAATAAGTTACGGATGGTTAAAATCTAAAACATGAAAGCTAACATCTAAACACGCAAACATAATAAGCAACTAACAGAGGTTCACAGTTAACATTAAAGAGAGTTAACACTAAATTACTAAACATGTTAACTCTTGTATATAACATGTTAAAATCATCAAGCTCAATCCATGGCTAACATGTTAACTCTTGTAGATAACATGTTAACTCTTGTGGCTAATATGTTAATTCTTGTGGATAACATGTTAACTCTTATTGCTAATTTGTTAACTCTTATGGCTAACATGTTAACTATTGTGGATAACATGTTAACTCTTATGGATAACATGTTAACTCTTGTTGCTAACATGTTAACTCTTGTGGCAAACATGTTAACTCTTGTGGATAACATGTTAACTCTTGTGAAGAAGAAGAATTAGCACATATTCACACTTATGTTAAGTGATCTAGGTGGTTTTAACAACAATCACACCTATGTTAAGTGATCCAGGTGGTTTTAACAACAGCGTGGCTGAGAAACAAGTTTTAACAACAACGTGTTAGATGCTACGTATTATAGTTATCAATTTACGTATTATAGTTATCAATTTACATATTATAGTTCTATTTTAATGTGTTAACGAATTATGTTAACATGCTATGTATTATAGTTAACATGTTAAATGAGAACTATATTAACGTGTATATGACCCGAAATAACATTTAACGGATAATGGATTACAAATAACAGTTAACGGATAATGAATTATAGTTAACAGTTTACTGAATATAATTATCAATTTACCAATTAAAGTTAACATGCTACGTATTATAGTTAACAAGCGAACTGTGAAAGTTAACATGTTACCAATATAACTTAACAAACGAACAAAGAAAGTTAACATGTTTCTGATGATGTTTACCAAATAAATTACAAAATGGAACATGTTATCCTGATCTCATGCGAAAAGGAACATGTTACTCAATACAGACTAAAATACTAATATCTATGTATTATCACACTCACACGACACTACTAGAATAAACTTTTCTTTTGGAAAAAAAAGTTAAAAAAGTAACACATAATTATGAGTAATAATTTCAGTCTATTGTATAATTGGCGGTGCATCAGATACATTTGCGGTGCAATGACTTCAAATCAGAGAACTAGAGGAGCGGTGATCTGATCTTCCATAGTCAACGAGACGCTGGCCCTCCAAAAAGTCAATCTATGAGTGGTTGTCTGCTTCTTGATCAGCTAAACTCAACCCCCTTCTCCGCCCACTACGACCCCTCCGTCCCCGAATCCTAAACCCCCAAACTAATCTGTCAATCACCCAAAACAAAGCAAAAAAACACAAATTAGAACTCCTAAGATCTCCACCAACCTCATCAAAAACAACCCCACACTCGGCCGCGATCCCCTTAACCAACTCCGACGCCGACGGATAGGCCGCCAGAATCAGATCCCGACCCGCCCAAGGATTTGACAACGGGGAGAGAGTGGAGGGGAGGGGCTGACGTGGCGATGGAGGCGACGGAGATCTGCTCTATCTCGGGGGGATGGGGCGACGGGGGAGAGAACGGAACCCTCAAAACTCAAGAGGGGTAGACAGAGGAGGAGAAGAAGAAGAGGAAGAAGGGTAGCGATGGTGACGGCGGGGGCTACGACTGAGGATGGAGTCGACGAGGTCGAGGGGAGGCGGAGGTGGCGGCGGTGTTGAAGGTATCCAGCGAGGTTGGAGAGAGGGTGGAAGAGGAGATGAGAGGAGAAGGAGAAGATCTGAAGAAGAAGAAGAAGAAGAAGAAGAAGAAGAAGAAGAAGAAGAAGAAGATGGTAGTTTGGGGTTTTTTGGGAATTAATTCTCTTAGAAATTGTAAAAAGGGAAGAATCACATTAACTTTTCCTTTTTGGGGCTAATACACATGAAAAATAATACAGTGGGCTGGACCACATTGTATTTTCATTTTTGGGGCCTTGAAGCAATTTTTCCAAATTTTAAACTAAAATATTTGGAAGAAGTTTCAAGTTTAAATAGATTTAAGGAAAAATTGCTTCACGGCACCAAAACTCAAAAAGTAATGTACCCTAGCCCCTCATATTATTAGTAATGTGTTGCTGCCCTAAAATTTTGAAAAAATTATGTCCCATCCCCTCCAGCTCATAATTAGCCCACTTTTATATGTTTTTAACTCAAAAACCCAACTTTACCCCTCCCCACTTCTTCTTCAATCTTCTTCCCTCCAATCCCAGCCCCCTCAAGCCCCCAAACGCCAGAAAAGATTGCGGTGCTTGCCAGCAACACACTCCCCGTCGAGGTCCTCCTCAGCGGTGACGATGGGTCACGGACGTTCGTGTCGAGCCATCTGAACATCGCCCCGGACAAAGAGATCGTGTTCAAGAACAACGCAGGGTTCCCCCACAATGTGGTGTTCGACGAGGATGAGATCCCATCAGGGGTGGACGCGGGGGCGATCTCGATGAGCGAGGAGGACCTGCTGAATGGCCTTGGCAAGACCTATAAGGTGACGTTGAAGGAGAAAGGGTCCTACAGCTTCTACTGCTCCCCTCACCAAGGAGCTGGAATGGTGGGAAAAGTTACCGTTAATTAGATCATTTTTTTTCAAATTTCAAGAGGTTTGGATGAATGGATAAGACTCTTTTATCATTTGTGCTGATTTTGTGAGCTCCTGTTGTTTATTGGATTTCGAGGAGGTTTTTTTTGGTTAAGTAAAATATGTAATTATCAAATTAATGTTGCGTTTCACTGTTCGTCATACATTTTGTGCCAAGTGTTTAGGGATCTAGCAATTCAGTTACTTGAAGTCGACTTTTGGTATCATCAAGTGTTTGGTTAAGTAAAATTATTAACTATTAATCATTATCTGTTATGTCATCGGAAACATGTTAACTTTTTTATTCGCTTCTTAAGTTACACTAATAACATGTTAACTTCGCAGTTTGCTTGTTAAGTTACACTGATAACATGTTAACTTTGGATGGTTGCTTGTTACTTTTCTAGGTATGAGCGCATAGTAAAGAAGACAAATCCAGGCAGCTATATTCATGTTGAACAAAATGCATCGGTTTTATATGACGCTCAAGTGTGAACGTTCTCATTTAACATGTTAACCGTAATTGGTAAATTAATAACTATATTTAGTAAATTATTAACTATAATACATTATATGTTAACTGTTACTTGTAATCTGTTAACTATTTATCATTATCTATTAACTATTATTTATAAACTGTTAACTATAATGAATTATCTGTTAACTATTATTTATAAACTGTTAACTATAATCCATTATTCGTTAACTATTATTTATAATCTGTTAGCTGTTATTTGTTACCTATTATCCGTTAACTATTATTTGTAATCAATTATCCGTTAACTATTATTTCGGCTCATATATACATTAATATAGTTTTTATTTAACATGTTAACTATAATACGTAGCATGTTAACATAATCCGTTAACACGTTAAATGAGAACTATAATACATAAATTGATAACTATAATACGTAAATGAACTATATTAACGTGTTATAGTTAACATGTTAACACGTTAAATGAGAACTATATTAACATGTTATAGTTAACATGTTAACATACTTATAGTTAACACGTTAAATGAGAACTATATTAACATGTCAACATAATCCGTTTACATGTTAAATGAGAAATATGTTAACCTTAATTGCTAAATAAATAACTATATTAACGTGTTAACGGATTATATTAACTATAATACGTTAATATAGTTCTCATTTAACATGCTACGTATTATAGTTATCAATTTATGTATTATAGTTCTCACTTAACGTGTTAACGGATTATGTTAACATGCTACGTGTTATAGTTAACATGTTAAATGAGAACTATATTAATGTGTATATGACCCAAAATAACAGTTAACGGATAATGGGTTACAAATAACAGTTAACGGTAAATGACAGTTAACGGATAATGGATTAAAAATAACAACTAACATATTACAAATAATAGTTAACGAATAATGAATTATAGTTAACAGTTTACAAATAACAGTTAACAGATAATTCATTATAGTTAACAGTTTATAAATAATAGTTAACAGATAATGATTAATAGTTAACAGGATAAGGGTGTTAGTTAACAGATTACAAATAAATTGTAAAAAGGAACATATTATCCTGATCATCTTTTGGTACACTACGTTCTCATAATTTAAAATTAACAATTTCTCAATTATATTTAACATAAAACATGTAAACGTTAACAGTCAATCAACTATAATAATTTGAACTGCTTCTTTTGATGAATTCAACCTTTAATAGTATAGCAAATCTCCAAGCAACATCATTCTTGTGTGGTATTTCATCAAACACCTTTATTGCATCCATTCAGTGTCCTAGCAACATATGTTCCCTTATAAATCGAGGCCCAATGCCATCTGAAGAATCTGAGGATCCGAGATATGCCAAGCTTTTCGCCCGATGACGTTTCGATAGTGGTTGATGTACTTGGACTCGAGCTCATAGAACCTGTTGAGCATTGAGCCGTAACTCTTATGCTCGGGGTCTTTAATCGAGGCAAACATACTGGCCTTTTTAGGATCGGTGTCAACTGACGAGTCAATTTTGGACTTGAACAGCTTGATTTTGTGAGGGAGACCGGTAAGGAAGAAATCCTCCGCCTCCGGCGGGAGTGTTTGGAGGGAATTGAGCTTTCCAAGAACATCAAAGGCGCAATTGGCAAAGGCACTTGTCCCTTGGAAGGAGAGCCTAGGAATTCCACGCTCGACGGAAATGTCGACAGTCCACGGGAGTAACACGTCTGTGACGACGCAGTCGGTTGAGAGGTCGGCGAGGACGCGGTCAAAGGGCTCGCGGAGGGTGGCGATGGCGGCTATGAATGTGAGGCGCGTCGCCGGGGTAGTGGCCATGACGAGGTTTTAGCACTTCGTTGTGAGATCGGGGACGGAGGGGAAGGGGACGGTGAGGAGGTGACACCGGAGACAGCAGCAGTGAAGGAGGAGGCATTGCCGGGGGTCATGAGGATGGTGGCTTCGACACCACGAGCGGCGAAAACAGCGGCCATGTCGAGCATGGGGAACGTGTGGCCGAGGGCCATGAAGGGGAAGAAGAGGATCTTGAGAGAGATGACAGTGATTTTGGGGAGGGGTATAGTTGGGTTTTTGGGTAAAATACATAGAAAATTGGGCCAAAGATGAGCTGGAGGGGCTGGGGCATAATTTTTTTCAAAATTTGGGGGTTGCAGCACATACCAAAAAGTATGAGGGGCTGGGGCATACTGACTTTTGAAATTTGGGACCTTGAAGCAATTTTTCCTAGATTTAAAACCAAAATGATTAGAAGCAAATTATGTTTAATATAATTTTATTGGTAGAAAGGCCAAGTTTGCATAAACGTATAATTACTGCCATCACTGTATTTTTTATTAACACATGTTAACATTGTTAAATAGTAATTACGAAACTTATTCAATTAGGACTCGTTGTGACCTATGAGACGGAGAGAGAAGAAGATGTTGTTTTCTGAAAAAATATCGTGAATGCTGGAAAAACCTCCCTAACTTTAGACGATTATCAAATAATGGCATAACTCTCACAATTTTAGAAATCCTATTTAAGTTAGGGCTTATCAGAAAAATCTATTTGATTTTAAGATATTTTTCCCATAAAACTTCCCTGAAAAGCGTGAACCGAGAATTTCATTGGCAAAAATATTCCCCATCATTATTTTACTTGTTAGTGCGAAGATTACGATTTAACACCTTCTAGGGGTTTCCTACTAAAATCTAAACTTAAAGGGGGTTTTGTGATAACCCTAAATTTAAGTGTTTTTTATATTCTAAAAGTTATGGGGATTATCAGATGATTGTCCAAAGTTAAGTGGGTTTTCCTATTTAAGCCAAAAATCAATCAATAAATAATTAATATAAACTTTTTTAAAGATCAATTGTCTAAGGATTTGCCAAGTAGCAACTAAGAATTTTGTTTTATTGCAGAATCTGGAAGTCTGTTCAAATCATAGATGATGAGACAAGGTCAAAAAAACTTGTCCATTTACTTAACGAAGCTACGATGGCAAAGATACAGAAAAAAATTCTAATAATTGCCATTAGCATATTACATGAATTAAAGAAAATATCTGCAACAACTAATTAAGCACTTCTAATTGATATTAGAATACAACTATGCAAAACCATGATGCACCCTTGAATAGACCGTCTCTGCAACGTTGTCATAAGACGCGCAAAGTACCAAATTAGTACAAAATTTGTGCTCATGGAGTTGAAACTTTTTAGGAAAGTTTATTTTGAATACTTTCTATCCTTCATATATGAACTGTAGCTGCCACGTTAGAAACACCAAAAGGACCATGTATCATGAAATTTGTAGTGACTCCACGCTCATAGTTGGATCCTTTCTTCGTTTAGGTTCACTCAGCAGAAATAATTCTCAATTTCTTAGCTAGAGGAAAACTTTTTCTCAAGCTGCAAATTAAGGATAGTAACATTAGAATATGAGCATTATATGTTTACGAATCACTACAAATTAAGGAAAACTTTTTCTCAAGCTGCAAATTAAGGATAGTAACATTAGAATATGAGCATTATATGTTTACGAATCACTACAAATTAAGGAAAACTTTTTCTCAAGCTGCAAATTAAGGATAGTAACATTAGAATATGAGCATTATATGTTTACGAACCACTCAGCAGTATAGAGCAACTATATGGATAAAATAAATATTTTTATTAAAATTTATCAGTTTTAGAAAAATACTTTTAGTACCAAATCTTATTCAGTAAAACAGATTCAAGTATGAAGCGTAGTAATAATTTGTAGTCTTATTATAAAGTTATTAAAAATCTAGGAGACATCATATAGAACACTAAGTTATATATCAATAACAAGCTAGTAACAGTTTTGAAGCTTATGAAATACTAATTAAGATTGTAGAAGGTTAAAATATATTCTATTTAGGTCAATATTTACCTTGGAGCCAAGAAGTTAACGTCTATGGGCTAAACACTTCAAATGTGCCTAAAGTCAAGCCCACAACAGGCTATAGCGAAGCTCGCTCAAACGAGCACGTGAACATCGTCATACAACTCTCTTCGGATCAGCCAAACGAGTCAAAAATGAGCCACGCGAAGTTAGTCGTTTGATGTTAGGGAACTTCCCTTGCAGCTATCCACACGGACCACATCACCATTATTAAGAAGTGATGACTCATCCACGTCCAATTGAGCCTTGCCTAAACACTTCCAACGAGCTTCGCTAACTAATTAATCAACAAACTTCACCAATCAGTCGTTTGACGGCTATTCTCAAAAGGATAACTGCTATCACATTATCATCTCCTACTTTAATGTCCATTTAATCCACAATTAAAGATCATTAACTCTCTCTCTCTCTCTCTCTCTCTCTCTCTCTCTCTCTCTCTCTCATCCCCTCCTCCTCTTTCCCCATTACTTATTCGCCAGTAGCCTATGAGAGGAGGAGGAGGAGATTGCTCATTCAAGAGGACCACCAACTGAGATCTCGAACACACCCATGCAACGTGTTGAATTAATATTTTCTCTCTTTCTTTCTGATAGAGAAGACTAATTCTTTCTGATAGAGAAGACTGAGCTATCTTCTAAGTAATCAAATCAGAGATCAACAGCAAAAACCTATCATCTTTGTTAGACCATCAACGGAGTAGAAGATCGATGCTCCATCAACACAAAGAAAAGGACCCAAGAAATATAAATTTTTCTTGTTTCTATTTAAATAGTAATCTATGTCAACTGTAATTCAAAAGATCCTAAACAAGATGACGACTCTACTGTGAACTCTCTTCCAACAAGAAAATTGTTTCGCACTCCGATACTAAGATCCTCGGGTCTTTTGCTGAATCGCTAAATGTAGGATCTGCGGAAGCACACACTAAACACTAGAGAGGGGGGAGAATAGTGTTTCTTTTAAAATTTTGCAAGATGAGTTATAAATTGCAAGAATAAATGACAACAATCACAGAAATTTGAACAATCACAAACACAAGAGATTTATACTGGTTCTACCATCCTGGGTGTACATCCAGTCCCTAAGCAAATCCCATTTGAGATTTACACTATGATTTTGAACCAATTACAAAATCAAAACCAAACCTGACCAATTTGCAAGTCTTTGCAAATTACAACAATCTCTTAACTAAGAGATCTTCTCTCACACCTGAGAGAAAGCTTCTTTGAAGAAAGTACACAAATTCCTATAAGCCTTGAAGTGTTGGTGAAGTATAGCAGTGGCTTAGGAACTCTTTTAATCTCTGAATATTGCCTAAACAATTTGTATGTATGATGAAGATTAATGGCTTTTTCAGAAACTTTCTTTTATGGAAAGTTAGACTGAAATTCTAAAAACAAGAGAGTGAATTTGCACAAAAATTGAATCTTATGGGTATGCTTGGTGGAAAATTCTGAACTTTAATACCTATTTATAGTCTCTAAAAAGACACAAATTTAAACTCAATTAACATCCAAAAATGGCTAAAAATAGTCACTAATTCAAATTATGAAAAACTAGAAAACTGTATCTATAATCGACTACAAGACTTAGTAGTCGACTTGCACTAAGTCTAAACAGACTCTGTAAAGTCATATAACTACTTAGTAGTCGAATACTTTTGTCAATGGTCAACTATATTATAATTTCACAGATTCTGGAATTCTGTCTAAGTCTTTAATAGTCGACTACAATGTGTATTAGTCGACTACACTGTAAAATCACAAAATCTAGAATTCTGTCTAAGGCTTAATTAGTCGACTACTTTTTGTACTAGTCGACTATACTATAAAACGACAAAATCTAACACTTTAACCAAGGCTTGAGTAGTCGACTACTATTGTTATTGGTCGACTACTAAGGGGTAATTATGAGATATATGAAGTATTCTTTATCTATAAACTCTAATGGTTAACATATGGGATTTTTATACTTAACCACACACTAAGCATGTGTTAGTGTGTTCTAATACTATGTGTGTGTATGTGTTGTGAGTGATCAAGTTCTAATACTATGTGTGTGTATGTGTTGTGAGTGATCAAGGCTTGTACATAAGATCTAAGCAAAGAAAATGTAAAAATTATATTTTGACATTTAGTTGTGAGTGATCAAGGCTTGTACATAAGATCTAAGCAAAGAAAATGTAAAAATTATATTTTGACATTTATGCATATCTTCTTCTTTACTTCATGTTGCCATAAACCCATCCTGCACTTTGTTCACATATCTTGAGCATATTTGATGTTGATATCTGCATTGATATATTAGTGCATATATAATACACATAGTATATAAATTGTTATCATCAAAACTATATATTGGGGATAATATATCCAACATTAAAGATGGTTTGAGCTTTACTGTAATCCAAACGAACTTTGTCTAGAGCGAAGAAATATTGACCCTTGCCTTGAGCGAAAGTCAAGATGTTCTGACTTCTTCTGATCTTAGGCATTAGTCTACAACTTCCTTGAAGGTTCGATTTAAATCATCTCACAATGTTCGCTATACTTCCTTGATAGATGCTAAGGATAGGGGTAAACCCTTATCCAAATTCCGACAAGGGAATGACATCACTAATGGTGATTCGTTTAACACCACAAAGTGAAGGTCAGGCCAACATCGCCATGGCCGACGTTCATAAGCTAAGACTCAAAATGATGAAGTTGGCTCGGAAAAGAGTCATAACTCAAATCAACTTGAAACTCCTAGTGATTTGAGAGAGTTCCTATCTTTGAAGAGAGCTCGCCATTGTCAGCATTGCTGACTCTCAGAGATATAGTTATGATAGTTCAAAAAAATTACCAATGCAAAACTATTCCTTAAAAGAAATCGGTATGTAATCATCTTAGTTACAATCCTGAGCCTTC